TTAGTGAGGGTTATAATCCCTAAGCGCGGCCGAAGGCCGCCAAAGCAGAAAGGTGTTCTCTGCAAAAGGTGTTCAGCCCCTTTTCTTCGCAAAACGGAAAGGAGAAAGGTGTTCTCTGAAAAAGGTGTTAGCCTCTTTTCTTCACAAAACAGAAGGAGAATTCTACTTTGTGAGTTTTATAATCCCTAAGTGCGGCCGAAGGCCGCCTACGCAGAAAGAAGACCGTCAAATATCGATCATTACAATACCCAACACATGTGTTGAACAAGTGTGTGTTGAGTTGATATGTGTTCAGTTGGTGTGTATTTAGTTTGTGTGTGTTGAATTCCTGTGTTGAGTTTGTGTGTGTTGAGTTGACCTGTGTTATTTAGACATGTAATCTTGGCTGCAACAAGATAGTGGTCCGAGTCGATGTTTGGGCCTCGGAGTGTGCGTACGTCTAAAACACTGGAAGCGTGCCTTCCGTCTATCACAACATGATCGATTTGGTTTCTCGTTTTTCGAACCGGAGACAGCCACGTAGCTTGATGGATCTTTTTATGCTTGAACCTAGTACTGGTAGTACCATGTTTCGGGCCACGGCGAAGTCGATCAGCCTCAATCCGTTGTCGGACATTTCGTCGTGGAGGCTGAATTTTCCGTCGGTGGTTCCAAAAGTCCTTTCCTTGCACACCCTGGCATTGAAGTCGCCAGGCGCGATTTTGATACCATGACGGGGCAGCGCTCGTACGTGCGCTCCAAGCGCTCATAGAAGAGATCCTTGGATGCCTCATCCTTCTCTTCCGTCGGGGCATGGGCGCAGATGAGCGAGATGTTGAAGAATCTCGCTTTGATGCGGATTGTGGCTAGACGCTCGTCCACCGGGGTGAACGACAGTACTCGGCGACGGAGTCTCTCTCCCACCACAAATCCAACTCCGAATTTGCGCTCCTTTACATGGCAGCTGTAGTAGACGTNAAGCGAGATCTTGAAGAATCCCGCTTTGATGCGGATTATGGCTAGACGCTCGTCCACCGGGGTGAACGACAGTACTCGGCGACGGAGTCTCTCTCCCACCACAAATCCAACTCCGAATTTGCGCTCCTTTACATGGCAGCTGTAGTAGACGTCGCAAGGCCCCAGACATT